TTTCTCTTCAGCTGAGATAAACTCTGCAATTAAAAACATGCAAAATGGAAAATCTCCAGGACCAGATGGTTTCCCGGCAGAATTTTTTAAAGAAATTTTCGGATCTACTTTCTCCCCTGTTGTTATCAGTTTTTGAGGAATCCCTGGCTACACAATTATTGCCACTATCTATGCGTCAGGTGGTAATTTCTTTGCTTTTAAAGAAGGATAAAGACCCCTTGAGCTGCAGTTCATAACGCCCAATATCGCTTTTAAATACTGATGCAAAAATTCTTACAAAGATGTTGGGAAAACGAGTCGAACAGATTACTCCCACAATTGTTTCACCTGACCAGACTGGTTTTATTAAAAATCGTCAATCCTTCTTTAATATCAGGCGGTTGCTTGATGTGTTGTATACTTCTGCTCCACCCGGTCACAATTGCAAAGAAATTTTAATCTCGCTGAACGCCGAGAAAGCGTTTGACCGGGTGGAGTGGAACTATCTCTCTAAGACCTTGGAGATATTTAATTTCGGTCCTAAATTTGTTTCATGGGTGATGTTGATATATATATTGCCAATGGCAGCAGTACACACTAACAATAATCTATCCAGTTATTTTGAATTGAAACGTGGTACGAGGCAGGGGTGCCCACTCTCGCCACTATTATTCGCAATTGCGATTGAACCCCTTGCAGTGGCTTTATGGAACAGCCCTAAGATTAAAGGTATCAATCGGTTTGGCACTGAACATAAAGTTTCCTTATACGCTGATGATACTCTTCTTTATATTTCAGATCCTTTGTCTAGTATTCCTGGGTTACTTCTTTTACTTCAAAAGTTTGGAAACATATCTGGCTATAAGGTTAACCTTCAAAAAAGTGAATTGATGCCTGTGACCCCAATAGAAGAGCGGCATATGGGTCCAGTTCCTTTCAAAATTAGCTCTGCCAAATTTAAATACCTTGTTATTTGGATTACTCACAGTCACAAAGATCTTTATACAGCAAACTATCTGCCTCTCCTGGTGAACCTTAAGAAGGACATYGCTACATGGGCATCCCTGCCTCTATTCCAGGGGGGTAGGATCAATGTGATCAAAATGACAATACTGCCCAAATTACTTTATCTATTTCAGAGCGTGCCAGTGTTCCTCACCAGGACTTGCTTTACAAATTTAAATAGTGAGTTGTCGTCCTTTATTTAGAATAAAAAGCATCCACAGACAGGCAGTAAGATGCTACAGCTACCCCATGGTCTTGGTGGCTTGTCACTCCCCAACTTCTTATATTACTACTGGGCGGCCAATATTAGAGCCTTACTGTTCTGGTTGAGAGAGGACAATCCTGTTCCTACTTGGGTAATTCTAGAGAGGAAATCAGTTACGGCTAGCTCTCTCCCTGCTCTACTTTGCTCCCAGTTACCGTTTAATCAACCAATCTYAACATATTCTTCTAATCCGGTTGTAACTCACAATAAAAATCTGGAATCAGTGCAGGAGGTTGTTTAAAAGTACAGAATTATTATTGTCTGCTCCAGTATTGAATAACCATATGTTTGCTCCTTCAYTAATGGACTCTGTTTTCAATACTTGAAGTTTAAAGGGAATAACTTCTCTAAATGATCTTTATATAGACAATAAGTTCGCCTCATTTGAACAGCTAGCACAGACATTTGACATCCACAAGTCACAGTTTTTCAGGTATTTACAACTGAGACATTTTGTAATGTCAAGCTCTGGATGTTTTCCTTTACGCCCCCCAACTTCTCTGTAACAAAACGCTCTATGAGCAGAGTTTATTCTCTGCTCAGTTCATTTTCTGACTCCAATTTAGATTCTTTGA